TTCCTGCTAATTTCTGAGAATTACATGTGATGACTCTATACATCTCCGAATTCCCTTCCCACTCTTGCTCCATGTATATGCTTTTAAAGTATTTGGAACATGCGTATCCCATATAATATCTACCCGACTTCCACGTTGCAGCTGAAATGTGTTTAAGGAAGGAGGAACACTGTGTTGCATAATCAAAAAAGTCTTCGTAGTGCGTGGTGTCAATATGTTTCCTACAGCTGCCCCATCAAGGATGATGACTTCTGCACTACTTGGATTGGAAACATTTTCTTATGAAGGAACCACATCTTTCAGGCAGCTTGAAAGCAAGTAGCACTTCACGGTATTGCCTGCTAGTTAAGTCAGAAAAGAAGCCAAGTATTCGATTTTTTCAGTTTGGTGGAGTGAAAATAACCAGGAAAATCAGTCCCAATATGTTATAGCTTGGTATTGTACAGACTTGCCAGGTCATTATGTTTGAAAACTGGTGCAACTCGACTGTCCATGTGAGCTTTCTCTATATAGGACAACAATTCATCAAATTCTATACCACGACGCTGATATCTTGTCCTTTAGATGTATTTGTTTCTATTACTTTATTTACAAAGAGAGATCAAGCAACAAACATAGTATTTAGCCTCAGGCCTCTTGCTCTCAGTTTAACTAGCAGAGACTTGTCATGTACTTTGAGGGCACACAACTTGACATGGGTATCAAGCTAAAATGTTGAAGCTGTATGTAGAGGCTCCCTAGTTGCAGGTCTGTCACAGAATACACATGTATCAATCTTCAATCGAAGGGGCAGTGCACTTGACTAAAGTTATTTTTGAAAACATCAGTATTTTCATAATGTTTTCCTTTTCTCTATCAGCTAAAGTTTTGTTTTGCTGAACTTCAGCCTGCAAAAGTCATGCCATAATCTAGTTGTAATATATCTGTTGTTCTTGGTAAGCAACCGATCTTATAGAAGCCCAGGAGAGTTTCAAGTCTTGTATCCTGCTTCATTTGTGAAACACCTTGAATCGGCTGGACAGTGAAGCACCTCACATACATTCTCTGACACAGAACGCATTTCTCTCAATGTGTCACACACTGTATACTTGATATACTGGGTCAGTGGTTCCCAAACTTTTTCGATTGCGGACCACTTTGGTGGGACAAATGGCCCGCGGACCATCTACTGGTCCTACCCCACCTAGCTGTTCTCTTCTTTCGTATGACCTCGGGCGTGGCGTTGAGCATCAGTGACTTGCATTTTTGGACCAGCCCACGAACTAGCAGTGGGTCGCGTACCACACTTTGAGAACCACTGTACTAGGTTATTTAGGGTCTAATATCTGATGTACTTTGGCTATCTTTATTCATACAAAAAGGATTTTATATCTTACTAGCTGGATTACCCGTCCGTTGTATAATAGATGAACACACAAGAAAATGTAGTTATCAAACACTAACATCAAACGTACATCTTTAATTAATATGGCCAAAAATCTGCGTTATAGCTAAATATCTTTATTAAGGTCTGTCCAAATGTGTGTATGTGTGTTATCGGACCTATTTGGCTGAAACAACTGATAAATATTTTGTCTTTCATTGTGCCAAAAAAACAACAACATCGTTTTCGTCCTTTTTTTTTGCTCTCTCTTTCTTACCGTGTTGCAAACACAACTCAAAATAATTATCTCACAGTAATGTACACAAATTACAGACTGGTTAATAAACACTCTTTTGATAATTCAGTTAATTCACTGACTAGTACAATAATCTCGTGTTATATACTTCTCAAACTATCGGAAAACATTGGAAAGTACTTTAGACGTGAGGTGTCACGTGCTCATCTCGGGACGTTGAACTTCTTTCCGGCCTAAGAAGAATATAACTTTCGAGAGACATCTACATTAAACAATATATATATATATATATATATACTTTGTGTGTTATATTTATACTAGTTCTTAAAAGCTGAACAATCGTGAGAACAGACGAAAATTCTAAGCCAAGCTTCGTAAGTTTCAAGTCTAGTGTGTATTTTCTTGTTTTTATCGTTTTCAAATACTTAGTTTTTCCCTCTCTATATTTATTTCTTGTCTTGTGATCCGCCGGTGGGTCAGCAGTAAGTTTGAGGACTTACAACACTAAAATTCGGGGTTCGATTCCCCACAGTCGACCACACACAGGTAGCCTATTGTTGATCTTTGCGTTACTAAAAAAAGAAATAAATAAAAAACTTATCGTGTGTATGTTTATTGTTCAAATGATAACGACTGTTACCCAAACTATTGTAAACAGCCTAATTACGTTTTCTTCAAATTCATGATTTTGTATTTAATTACGTCCCTTCGAAATACCAGATCAGTGAGGAAAATACATTCATAACTGGAAATATTATTTTTGTAAAAAAAAAAGAAAGCAGAAGAAAAGATGAAGAAGGAGATGGAGATGTGAAAGGATATATTATATATACAATATTTTCAGGAAGAGGTGAGATAAAATTACGTTTACTGAAAATCGCATGTGGCGTTTCTATACCATACCTATGTAAAAGTTACATTTTTCAGATCATGTGAGAATTTTGTATTTCGAAATTCCAGTATTTCAGTTTTGAAAATTCTAACTGGCTTTTACATTGAGAATGGGTGCTACTAATAACAATTGTAAGATTAAGTAATCAAAACTTCTTATCAAAATGGCCAATAACTGTCTATGACCAGTAGTGGGCGCCACAGTCCTAATTAGCTGGCAAATGTTTGTTTGTTTTCAATTAAGTACAAAGCTACACAAAGGGTTATCTGTGCTTTGCCCACCACGGCTATCGAAACCCGGTTTCTAGCATTGTAGATCCACAGACATACCGAGCTGACAAAGGATTAATAAGTTTGTTTTATCTGACATACCATCAAAGTTTTTCAATATTCAATGTCCTGTCATCAGATCCTTCAAAAACTTCTAAAAGTCAGCATATATATATTCCCCTCATAGTCTATTTAACTAATCCTAAATCTGATTCTTACTACTCTGCTTCAGTTGTATTATACACACAGACAAACAGCGAACTATTAACCATGCTTATCCCCTGTCTTCAATAAAGGCAGACGAAATGTTACAATTCAACGTAAGTGCAGAAGTGTAGACTTTGAACCGAGAAAAAAAAAAGACATATATAAAGACAATAGATAAACATATTTATAGAAACACTAGCTAAAAATGTGTTGATTTTTTTTAATTGTATCCTATTCGTATATCTAACAAATATAGACAAGCTATTGGTGTTTTAGAAACGTCTTGTCTGTATGGGATTGTATGTTTTTATAGAAAAATTATTACACCTTTATTATAAATCAATTTATAAATTAAAGAAAATAAAGAAATAAATGTTCTCATTGCCGATTAAATTTGAATCTCATTAGCTCGAAATTCAATAGTGTGATTTGAATTTTAAAACTGAACAGTGAAAACTGTCAAATGAAAAGAAAAATTTTTGAAATTCTATTTATGATCGCAAAATAAAAATAAACATTCAAAAGTTACGAAGCTTTGTAAGCTTTAAATAAATAATAATAATAAGAACTTTTAATGAAAATACTTTTGTAATGTTACTGTAAATTTAATTTTAGAATTTAATAACATGTACTTCGCTTTATAAGAAAAAAAGCGAACACATGTTTGTGTCATTTGAATTTTTCTCAAATGTTTTGCATTTTATTTTTCAATATATTTCAAAAAGAAACAATACCTTTTTTGAGTAACTGTCTTCAAATGTCTTACTATTTTTTTGTGTATGTGTAATAAAGTTAATCTTTAGCTGTGGGTTAGTTTGTTTGTTTGTTTTGAATTTCGCGCAAAGCTACACGAGGGCTATCTGCGCTAGCCGTCCCTAATTTAGCAGTGTGAGATTGGAGGGAAGGCAGCTAGTCATCACCACCCACCGCCAACTCTTGGGCTACTCTTTAACCAATGAATAGTGGGATTGACCGTCACATTATAACGCCCCCACGGCTGAAAGGGCGAGCATGTTTGGTGTGATGGGGATTCGAACCCGCGACTCTCAGATTACGAGTTGAGCGCCCTAACCACCTGGCCATGCTCTGGGTTAGCCCCCCCCCAGTGGCACAGCGGCATGTCTGCGGCCTTCCAACGCCAGAATCCGGGTTTCGATACCGGTGGTAGGCAGAGCACAGACAGCCCATTGTGTAGAAACAAACAAACAAGTTCTGGGTTAAAACCGTACTTGTTTTTAAAACATTACACAAAAATTGTTTATTAAGGTAGGATTCTACTTTTTTTTTCTCTTCACTGCCGTCGTCTTTTATTTTGATTTAACGTTTCAAGCTTAGGATCAAGTTGTGAAAACATTGCAAGTTTTATTGAGGCATTCATACATTGTGAGCGAAACCCAATAGAACAGAAGAGTAAGATTTTGTTTATGCTTTTTATTCGAAACAGGACGAGGTCTTGTACTTTAAATACATAAAATTCAAAGAGTTTATATCATAAATAGGGATGGTTTAATACTTCAACCAATACTTATTCTGTCACAGAACGTTTGTGGACACATTAAATTTTACGTTTAATGTATAAAACTTAGGCTTCATACTTTACATTATAGAAATGCATTATTTTTTGTTAAACTATGTTGGTAAACCACGTTCGCCTCACCGTAAGTGACGCAATGTATTTGTAAATTACGCATTAGATTTGAGAGAAAAGGACAAACAAAAAAAAGAGTTAATTAAACTGTGTTATTCTTCAAAAAATAGTTAATTGAGCTCATAATAGATTTCAAATGTTTTCCTATAAACTAAGTTTGTATTAAGGGTTGAGGTGAAGGACGTTTTGACCAACGTACTAAGACATTTTGATCTTAACATCAACACGTCAGTCACCTTAAAACTTCAGACATGTGCAGTCCATATTTATGTTTCTCATTTAACATTTATTATTCTTATATTTGAAATTGCAGATGTGTTCACGTAGATGTTCGTATTTTCAATGTCATCAACGTTCAAAGGACTGAAGTTTGCTACAGTCGTTTGTAAAAGGACTGAAGATCAAAATTATGATTCGCATAACCCAAAGAGATGGTATGACGCTACGAAAATAACGTGAAGGATGACCTTAAGGAATAGAAGGTACTTGTCAACCAAGAAGCATATGTACTGGAAAACTACATTCTTCCTTCAGTGGTCCTTGATGTTAAAGTCTACATCGTTGTTATGGTTTCTTTTGCCACTTTTATTACTCGGCACATGTGAAGAAATTCCATCGAAAAGTCAAGAAACGTGGTTTACAGAATGCAACAGGTGGTTAACAGCCCCCTTTGGTATCATTTCAACCCCCAATTTTCCGAGACGCTATCCTGTTCCTATAAAGTGTCAGTGGGTTCTAGAAGCTCCGCGGAATAAAAGCATTGCCATATATTTCACCCAATTCTATATGAGAGAAGGGGTTAGAATCTCAGAATATGATTACTATGACGAATCTATTACATTATCGAAACAAGATCTGGGAATTGTCAGTTCGGACGCTGAACCAACTCAATACATTGGCTTCAAAAGTTTTTTAGTGTTGGATTTTGAGATTAGAGAACGTGATAACGTCCACATGCGTGTAATGGACTTTTTCCTTGACGTATATGGTTTCAACATTACCTACGAAATCATTGACAAACAGGAGGAGCGGCGGAGAGATCCGTGTATCGAAAACCACTGTTCCTTTAATGGTGTTTGTTATGCTTCTAGAACCTTTAAGACTTACACTTGCAAGTGTTTCGATCCATATTACGGAGATGAATGTAAATATTCACCTGTCTGTGGACCCAACTCCAATGACACAATGTGCTTGAATGGAGGACACTGCAGGTGAGTTAGAAAACACCTTTTCTTCTACACTACGTCTAATTTGTTATTGGTTGGTTGTTTTTTTAATTTCGCGCAAAGCTACACGCGGGCTCTCTGCACTAGCCGTCCTTAATTTAGCAATGTAAGACATTGGGAAGGTAGCTAATCATCACCACCCACCGCCAACTCTTGGGCTACTCTTTTACCAACGAATAGTGGGATTGACCGCCACATTATAACGCCCCCACGGCTGAAGGGGGCGAGTATGTTTGGTGTGACGGGGATTCGAACCCGCGACCCGCAGATTACGAGTCGAGCGCCCTAACCGCCTGGCCATTTCGGGCCTTACTGTGACTCTCTAGTGAAAGTTTTATGTGCAGTTGAACTCGCTTGATTTGGTTGAGCTTGTATCTAACTGCTGATTTACTATCAAACACCAGTAAATAATGCATATGCAGCCAAAGAAGTTAAGTATGTAAACTGGAATTACTTGTTTTTATCTTAATTGAAAACATTAATATTAATGATTTGCATTCTTCAATCTGTATTTATATTCCTGTACGTAAGCACAAAAATGTGAGATATAATTATTGTGACATAACGACCGATAATTATTCCACGTAATTTACAAAAATATTACTACTTTAACATGAACACCTAGTAATACGTATTCATTTGTCAGTCATATGAAAATCAGTCAAGTTAAATAAATAGTAACGTATATAATTATAAATATGACGAGTGTTGCTGAAGATGTTAGTGAACCATTGTTTAACATAAGCGAACGAGGAAATGTTTACTCTTGTCCCAACCTAAAGCAAGTTCCATTTTATCCATCTCAGAAATGCACTTCCACTTCAGTTCAAAACGTTTTTTTAATTGAAACTAAAACGATTTTAGAACAAATTAAATTAAGCTGCGAACTGACTTACAATTTCAAGAGATTGATAACAGTAGATAATAAGGAACGATCTTGGAGTAAGTGCCGAAAATAAAGACTTGAGTTAGGATGAGTGTTATAAGATTATCGACCATAAGGTTTGATAAATATTTCCCCTTTAAAAAATTATCGCTTACGATGAAAGTAATGATAACTAACTACTATATGACAGAAATCTAAATATTAATTAAATTATTAAAAAAAAACATGATTGAACTATAGAACATCTGTTGGCCTCTTCTAAAGTCCAGACATCTGAATGATTATCTGAAATTAAAGCATTGATTGATTAAGTAAATTACGGGAACATTTGCCACATCAAATTTTGTTTTTTTATTGCGAACTTTCAGCCCTTTTCAGAGTGTGCCAGGCGTGGCCTAATTATTAGCGTTCTCTGACTGTGAATCTGAGGATTTACGGTTCGCGGCCCGTTGCTTCATAAACACGCTCCGCCGTTGGTGTGTTGTAAGAGTGATGGACAAGTTCCATTATTTGTTCAGCAAGGGTAGTTCAAGAATCTGCGGTGGGTGCTGTTGACTTGCTGACTTCCCTCTAGTTTATCACTTGAACGTTCGGGACAAAATCAGGAACGAACTTTCTGGAACATTCGTTGGGTAAGTGAACAATAATTTGTTAGCGTTCACTGAACACTTTTTAAAGATATGTAACCAAGCAACAATATAAACAATATGTTACCTGATGTTAAAAAGTGTTAAAGATAAGTGTAATTATTTTATTTTGTTTCTCCGTGGAACAACGGTAATTTTATGGACTTCCAACGCTAAAATTCGGGGTTCGATTACCAACAGTGGACACAGAAGATAGGCTAATGAGGCTTTGCTCTAAAACAAACAAACAAATTTTATTTATGTTATATAGAAAAGGGATCTGGCAAGGTCAGTAACCAGAAGTTAGTATTCAATTAGTAACTCACTAAAATAAATAAAGGACATGTAAATTTTTATTCCTAATTTCAGCTCAATGGGATCAATATAAACAGGGTCCGGCATAGCCAGGTGGTTATGGAGCTCAACTCGCACTCTGCGGGTTCGAATCCCCGTCCCACCAAACAAGCTCGCCCTTTCAGCCGTGGGGGCGTTATAATGTGACGGTCAATCCTACTATTCGGTGGTAAAAGAGTAGCCCAAGAGTTGGCGGTGGGTGGTGATGACTAGCTGCCTTCCCTCTAGTCTTACACTTCTAAATTAGGGACGGCTAGCGCAGATAGCCCTCATGTAGCTTTGCGCAAAATTCAAAACAAACAAACAATATAAACAGAATAGGGGACTTGTACATTTTGTCTGGAGAGTGTTTTTATTATGTGCAAGAAAATAATTTTACATATGCAAATGAAATGGTTAAAAAAAGTAATTCTAGCATACTTGACCATTCTAATTATAAGTTAATTTCATGTACATTATGATTCCGTTTGATTATTTAGAATTTTTACAGAAATATTTCTGAAAAGAAAAGGGATTTACAACTGGAAAAAGTAGAAAGAAAACAGAAACGCCGGGATTTCTTTATCGTTTACCATAGTGCCATATAAACAGTTTTGAGTGTCGAACTAAGTTTTGACAATCTATTTGTTAACCATAAAGCTACACAATGAGCTGCCTGTGCTTTGCTCACCACGAGTACCGAAACACACGATTTTTAGCGTCATAAGCCCTCAGACCTTTCGCTGAGCCACTGGGGGGGGCGGCGTTTTTAACAAAAAGAAAACATTTTTGTACAGTGCTTCGTGTCATATCAAAATGTATAAACAAAACAAGTTAAGAAGGACTTGAAACTTGAGAGTCAAAGATCAAAAAACTTAATTGAACATAATAAAGCAAAACGATATGGTACCATGAATATGATATAAGAGGCGAATTTGGTTTGATTGGTTGATTTTTGATAAGCACACAATGTTTTATCCATTCTTTGCCAACCGCGGATATCGAAACCCGGTTTTTTGTCATTATAAGATCCCAGACTTACCGTTGAACCGCCTGGAATCGGTGATTGTTGATTATTAAGAAGCGTTTTTATGTACCGGTATTCTTGTTACATGTTCCATAAGGCATTAAATTAATCTCATTTCGTCTGGGATATGTTTGTATCTTAACGATTTTTGTTAAGTTAAGATAATATGAAACAAATCTACTTATTGATCTTTATGCCAAAGAGGGAAAACAAATATTACTATTCCTAAAATTACAGGTAAAAATGATGTATTAATAATATATAAACAATATAACAAGACAAATGTATTAACAAAGAACGTTACATGAATACTACTGTTACCATAGGTGTCAAGGGGGATTCCATTACAGTAACCAGTCAACATTCTCGTTACATAACTCTAACCTTATACTTATTGATGTGTTCAGTATATTCCCCTTCGGCTTTTTTAAACATATGTTTCTAAACCATCATATTACTTACGGATCCATGACTTTTTGGGTTATAAGATCACTAATAATAGGCACCCCAGTGGCACAGCGGTATGTCTATGGACTTTCGATACCTGTGGTGGGCCTTGTGCTTAACTTCAAATAAACAAACACTAAATATATATTTTTTAATAAATACCGACTAGTTACAGTTATGACCCATTCTGTATTTTTGGTTAATTCTTCACACTATGTGTTGTGACATAAAAATGTGAAATTACGCTCAGTACGATGCAATATGTGGAACCGTTCGGATAGTTTGGTTTGTTATGAATTTTGCGCAAAGCTACACGAGGGCTGTCTGCGCTAGCCGTCCCTAATTTAGCAGTGTAAGACTAGAGGGAAGGCAGCTAGTCATCACCACCCACCGCCAACTCTTAGGCTACTCTTTTTACTACTCAATCTACTGGAATTGACCGTCACATTATATAGCGCCCCATAGCTGAAAGGGCGAGCATGTTTGGTGTGACGAGGATTCAAACCCGCGACCGTAAATTGCGAGTCGAGCACCCTAACCATCTGGCCATGCCGGGCCCGATTCGGATGGTGAACAGGTTAAAATAAGTCGGTAACTTAAGGGTTAAAAAGTGTTCCGTAAATGCTAACAAATCATTTTTCTGTTGGTCGATGAAGGTTCTGCTATGAGAGTTGAAAGCTTGCAATAAAAAATTCACTTGGTGAATGTCCGTGCAAATTATTAAATTGGACATAAATACCTATGTATGTGTATCAAACGACAACTAAAGAAGCGTACAACAAAACTTTTATTTCCTGTGTCTATGTGTAACTGTTAATCTGCAAGCGTGATTTAAAATTTCTTCTTGCAAATATTTAATAAAAGGTAGTTCAAAAAGTCGTGGCTGGAAAGCAAATTTAACATACACCACTCTCATTTATCAGATCAACAGAATTTGCTCGAGATATTTTGTCTATTTTAGGGTTTAAAACTTTTATAACTAAAAGTTCTTTTCGTTGTATGATGAAACTTACAAATTATGAAGGCTCATAACAAGAGCCGTAATTTTAATTAGTTTCTGTTTATGAGTCTTTATTCATTTGAGAAGATAACGAGAGCATAAATCCACGTGTCACTGTTACTAGACGCCATTTTTTAAATTACTGAAAATTACAGTTTGAGGATTAGGCTGCTACGTCCTCAATGAATATTAGAAGGCGAGATATCTTAGGAGGAAAACACATCAGTTAATTGTGAGACAAGTAGAGCAAATAAGAGGTTTCGAAACCAGGAAGTATTTTAAAGTCAAGGTTTATTTTCTCATTTTATCAAGTGAGATGAAATTATTATATGTAATGTGCCTTCAAAGTTTCTTTGTATATATATAAAAAAAACAAAGTTTTACAAGCGACAACTTAAGATATAATTTTCTCTCACAAATACATTTGAAACCAGTCGAGATAATTCTTAGCCGCTTAAACTCTTACATAAAATTTTGAAGAAATTTCGATCATTTCTTAAATTGTCATCACAAATTAGTCATATTCAATTCACAAAATGAATAGCATTATATTCTTGTATATTATCTTCGTAGAAAACGGTAATTTGACTTGTATATTATAAAGTAACAAATAAACACTCACACATATTTATATGTATGTATATACGTCTTATACATACTAAAACAAAAACAATAAATATTATATACATTTCACCGTTGTAAGAGACCTAACTGTATCTTTGGTTTACTTGGGTCAGCTATGCTGATGAGCCTTGAACAGGCGAAACTGTAATCCTCAATAAAGGATACAGCGAATCAAAGAATACACAAGGCCTCTACGTTACAGGTATTTTCAATTTCACTTGTGGTGAAAAGAAAACAACATCTGTAATATAATCATTAATAAGTTGATCCACTCTATAATATCGAATAATAAATTATGTGCAATGTCATAATATTATTTATGCACCTAAATTAATTTAGGTTATTGGTGAGTTAAAGTGGACTCAAATACATCATAGATATTGTTTACTACGATGCATAATAAACTGTGTGTTTCACTACATTGTTTACAATAATTTATACGGTGTAAATGTGAAATTATTGTATGCTTCTCACTTGATTAGAGCTGTGCTCTGTTGAAGCTACAGCATTGTTGCTTCTTACTTGACTAAAGCTATGCTCTATTGAAGCTACAGTATTGTTGCTTCTCACATGATTAAAGCTATGCTCTATTGAAACTACCATATTGTATGCTTCTCACTTGATTAGAGCTGTGCTCTGTTAAAGCTACAGTATTGTTGCTTCTCACTTGATTAAAGCTATGCTCTGTTAAAGCTACAGTATTGTTGCTTCTTACTTGACTAAAGCTATGCTCTATTGAAGCTACAGTATTGTTGCTTCTCACATGATTAAAGCTATGCTCTGTTAAAGCTACAGTATTGTTGCTTCTCACTTGATTAAAGCTATGCTCTGTTAAAGCTACCATATTGTATGCTTCTCACTTGATTAGAGCTGTGCTCTGTTGAAGCTACAGTATTGTTGCTTTTCACATGATTAAAGCTATGCTCTGTTAAAGCTACAGTATTGTTGTAACACGATATGAAATCCAGATTTATTGATGTTTTACTTTATGTGTTGAAGTGTTCGTAACTAAAGGCAAGCTCGGATAAAAAAAACTTGAAGAAAGTGATGAACTAAGTCAGAATTAATATAATCGGGTTCTAATAGGCCTGTTTTTATGAGAAATGTTACAAAGATGAGATGTAAAGAAGAAAACTAAATAACACTCAATTAGAGTTAAAAAAAAACGTTTACAACGATTAAATAGTAAATCCGTGTCAAAGGCAATTAGGAAAATAAATAACAACTGTAAATTTTCTCCAATAGATGTTTCTCATGTGCAAATCTTAATCAATAATAATGTACTCAACTATAATTTCAACTTAATATTTCTGAATATTAATAAAATTTTCTTTCGAGGAATATTAGTTTGTTGTTTTTTCACGTGAATTCAATTTTTGCCCAATAATCATTAGCATAATTTGAAAACTGTGTTTGAGTGACATGTCAGAACAACACGGACAGTTACTGAATATTCTGACAACTATTTTTTTGTGTTGCTGAAGGCACTACATTGGATCCAGAGCTCGAACATGTGAATGCCCTTCCGGCTATGAAGGCGTCTTCTGTGAAAGGAAACAACAAAAAAGATACCATAACAGGAAGGGTAGGTTGCGCTCTGTGGATTTATAAATTTGAAACAATCAAAACAGTTTCAGTCTTTCATGTGTTATAAACAAATGTTGATGATTTTCATCTGAAATAAGTCGTGTTCAATTCATAAACGTTTGTAGGAAACAATAGTCTAGTATAAAACTGTATATTTTAGTGTAACATATACATCTGATAAATAGCAATAACCACTTACTATAATTTATTATTTAGTTTTACGTTCTAATCCTTTGTTAAAAGTAATACCATACCATATGTCTCCTGCTGGATTAAAGGTATTATTTTAATCGTAGAAAACTTAGGGGCATTATGTATGTATATATATATATGTGTGTGTGTATTGAATGCGTACGTCCCACTAACTTAATTATGTTTTTTTTTCCCCCCCCTGTAGTGGAGCTTAAGCCCTTACGATAAACCCCCTTAACTTTCCGCTTGTGATAAGACTTTCTGTAATAAAATCTTTAGGGTTTCGTCCTTGGACGAGCAAATTGTCTGATGACAAGTGAGTAAATTCCTTTTCCATTCGTGTGTTTTCAACACACGTCGAAAGCGTTTTCCAACTGTCAAAAAAAAAGAAAAAAAACATCTAACGAAGCGTAAAGTCAATCATGAAAAGCGCAGTTTTTAGTTTGGATTTTAATTGCATTCTACTTATGTAAACTAAATCTTCCTGTAACTGGCAATAACGACACGATGCATCCTGCCGGTGTTGCTGTTTGAAAATGTTCATGCGTTTTGTTTAATGTTCTAGGTTCCAAAGCTCATGAATGTGATCAGACGGGATGTTCTGATTTATGCAAGGAAACACTTAGCAGCGCTAATATATGCACGTGTCCTCCAGGACAGCAAATGACGGATGATTTTAATTCCTGTCTCGAAAGAGGTAATTTTTACCGAACAGAAACTATAGTAATTCTAATAGTTAGGAGAAACTTTCTTGAAAGCTTGATTTACAGATATAGCGATAAGTTCGAAGTTTAACGAAGAATCCAAATGAAAATGTAGGATATCAAACTATTATTATTGATTTCTTGTGATATAAGTTTAATTTGAAAACTTCCTTCTTGAATTAGAGTTTTCTATTAAGCATATAGTATACGATTGCGCTGATTTCACTCAGATTTCTGATAAGCATACAATATACCACTGCACTAATTTGATTTAGTTTTCTGTTAAGCACATATACGACTACGCTGATTAAATTTTCTGTTAAGCACATAATATACCACTTCACTGTCCCTCGGTGGACAGCGGAAAATTTATAGTCTTATAATGCTAAAATCCGGGGTTCGATTCTCCGCGGTAAACACTCCAAATTGCTCAGCGTGGCTTTGCTTTAAAGCAAACAAACTACTGTACGGATTTAATTTAGTTTCCATAGTAAGCACATATAGAATTGCACTGATTTAATTTAGTTTTCTACTGAGCACATATTAAACTACTGCATTGATTTGATTTAGTTTTCCTGCTAAGCACATAATGTATTAATGCACCGATGTAATTTAGTTTTTTGTTAATCATATATTAAACTTCTCCACTGATATGGATTGCAATGCCATTTTTACATACGTCTGATTTACAATCTGTAAAAGAATGTCTACGAGGAGTGTGATAAAAATATCTAAGGCAAAATATGAGTTTCATCACCTGTTCTAGAGACATCACTTTATTTTAAACAGTTATTTAGTTAATGTGCACCGCATATAATAACAAGTCTCCTAGTTTCGGTTGGTTCACAAGGCCATGCGTGGATCCGAAAATTGATTTTTCGCCTCTTTCCTGCAAAACACTTACTCTACACTTTAGGTCTATGGTCAAATCCCACTGTTCATTCAGACAAGAATATCCCAAGAGTTGACGGTGGCGCTGTTGACTAGCAGCTTTGTCAGAACTTAATAATTCCATTTATTAGTTAATTTCTCGTTGGTACGATACTTCTTGTAAAGAATTTCACGACTTTACACAAATTGTCTTTCAGTAACTACATTTTCTAACCATTATTTTTACTCAGGCTTCTATATTTTAAAACAGGAGTCATAAATAAATTAGTAATTTAGATATTTCATTTAAATAAACATATTCATGAATATAACTTTGTTCCAGAACGTGCGGTTGAGAATATTAATTTCTGAGCAAGTAAAAAACAAACAAAACGATATGTTCTAAATCTTAAAGTTTCTCCTTTAGGTTCATTGGAATTACATTACACAAAACAATTGAAGAATAATAATAAGATACAGTAGTACATCTATGGCAAAGCTATAAAATATCATCAGCCATCTCCTTATTTTATTGTTTTGTAAATCATATGTCCAACGATCCACCGTGTAATCTCAAATACAAACGATTTGTTACTCAGCCTATGCTATATATATATATATATATATGTACATCCATCGTGATCTCTCACAATGTTTGTCTCAGTCGTCACTTTGAAGTAACTCACAGAGTTCAACATGCTCATGGCTACACCTCAAGAAAGACATTCGAATGTTTCCCTCATGTGTGTGTCATCGAATAAGTGAACGCTAGCTAATCACGAAAAGTTTTGCGAATTAGTGAAAAATTGTCTCAAAATATCGTTAGCAAATTCTGACATAACTTCGAAACTATAGCAAAGTTGCTTGGACTTCTGGACAAGGCAGACCATAATCCACAACACAGGCAAACTAATGCTATCTGTGAATTCTTAGTCGCAGCATTGCAATGGTATTCGTTCCAAGATTTTAGTTACATGTTTTCCATTGCAAATGGATATTATGTCACTGTACAGTTAGTTATAAACGGGCTTCAAAAAAAGAAAAAAAGTTGACCTGCAAATAAAATTTCTTCTAGGTGCAGTTTGTTCACAGTATGACACAAAACCAATCACCTGTAATATTGCCAGGAATATGGTCCTTTCAGTGGAAAAATACTCTTTTACAAATAATACGTGCTTAATCCAGAAGTCAAATAGCAGTCGTACACTTATATGAAATGAATATGGAACCACATCTAACTTCAAGCTTAGAAGAATAGTTTGGGAATAAACAAGAATTGGTAGACAAACTAGTCTCTACTTCCTGTAGAATAGTATCATTAATACCATATTTTATAAGGACCACGTCCTACCACCCTTTGTGCTATCATATCCTGATACAATTGTTTCCGAGACTATAACATTTAAGGCTAGCCAAACTGTTCCTTGTGCTATGATTGGCTGATGAAACATGACGTCACTACCTAGTTACATTGCATGCATGAAGTCTTAAGATGGGCAATGCTCATGGTAGCAACTGTTTAAACTTTTGAATGATAAAATACTATGTTATGATTAAGTACAGCGTTTGCACTACAAGAAATCAACACAAAATAAAATATATAATCTCAGTTTCGCCGATAATCATATTGGTCAGAAAATCCAAGCAAGTCGCACGCACTAAAATGCCTTCCTAAGGATGAAAGAGCAGGTTGGTGGTCACGAACAGAGATATGATTTTAGAAAACGTTAAACGGTGTTAAAGGGCATACAGTGACAAAGATTACTATAGCAATCATTTCGCGGAAAACCATGTGTCCATCGATTTCGTGCACTCCATAAAGTGAAATTTAAGCGATTTCTTCTTTATTTCTGCAAGAAAGATATTCCTGCTTTTAAAGCAGATATTTTCTTGTCTTTTTTTCTTTTATCATCTTTCTCTGCTTTTCAATGGCAGCTTAAGAGTTCCATCACTAAAGTGCTGTGCCCACCATGAGTATCAATAAGTCTTCAGGCTTACCGCTAAGCCACTGAAGAAGAATTTTCATCTCGTGTCTTCATGTTTGATAACCCGGAGCAGGCCCGGTATGGCCAGGTGGTTAGTGCACTTTACTCGCAATGTGAGGGTCGCGGGTTCGAATCCCCGTCCTACAAAACATATTTCCCCTTTCAGCCGTGTGGGCGTAGCAATGTGACGGGCAATCCCACTATTCGTTGGTAAAAAAGTAGCTCAAGAGTTGGCAGTGGATGATGATGACTAGCTGCCTTCCCTCTAGTCTTTCACTGCTAAATTAGGGACGGCAAGCGCAGATAGCTCTCGTGAAGCTTTGGAAGAAATTCAAAACAAAACAAACCCGGAGCACATGATGAAAGGTGATATCATTTATGACATTTTTCTTATGTCGTTGTTTTCACTCTAGTTGCACCTTCACCCTTTATTGTCACTTTCATTTCTTGTTCTCGGTAACGACAGTAATCGGAGAGAAGGAATGTCGCCTGGCTTTAGTCTCAGTTTGATTTTACAACCAACTAGTTCAGCTCTTATGTCTCTCTAAAAACTATCACTACTAAACTGGTCCGAAACATATAAGTGATCGTTCTCATTGAAAGGATCAAATTTGTCTGCTCTTTTGCATCTATCAACTCAAGTTTTAAGCAACTGTCCTCTTTTCAAGGAAATCTACGAAAACTAATATTGTTGTTTTTATCACAATTAGAACAAACAGCCACAGCACATTTACGATTACCGTCTTTTGTTAGTAAAGGCAAAGAAAAATTAACCTGAAGCAATTTTGTGATCTTTTTCTCAAGAGTTTTAACAAGAGTGCACGGCACGCGAGACGGCGTGTGACCATGTAGTGACGTAACATGTGGTGAGCTACTAGACGCGTAACAAGTGCTAAAAGCAATTCTTCTCATGTAATTGTCTTCCACTAGTCCCGACTTCAGCCTAATGAGTGATAACACCTCTTCCAGTGTACTAAACCGGTCACGAATGAAATATTATATGTTTCAGTTATCATTTCATTGTTTTCTTGCATTGAAAACGATATTGACAATACATTTATCGGTTTTAAATATGTTGTAATATACACACTCTCTATAATGTACTTCTATTACAATCTGTCTTGAATTTACGTTCTCCCCCAAAATCATATCCATAATAACTGAATGAAGATGCAATAATGGGGTGTGATATATATAAAAGTGAATGTTAGCAAACATATTTAAATTAAGAAATAAGAACTTCTTTATTTCCTTTTTTGTTTATTTGTTTATTGCTAAGCGCGAAACTACACAATAAGCTATCTGTGCTGTGGCCATCACGGGTATCAAAACTCAATTTTTAACGTTATTAGCCTCTAGACTTACCACTGAGCCATTGGGGGCTTTTATATACTTATGTAAATTTACTAGACACACTTAGTTGAGCTTTGAATAGGCGAAACTGCAGTCCACAGCAGAGGGTATGGCGAATCAAAGAATGCATTCGTCCTACATCATAGATTCTCTTATCAATTTTATTTACTTGGATAAATGCACTAGACACATTTAGATGTTAAAGACTAAAAAACATCTTTATTTACAAATGATGTTCAGAAAGACACTACATTTCATTTCATTTAAGCCAGGGCCGGGCATGGCCTAGTGTTAACATGCGCGTGCTTTGAATCCGAATGTTCATGGCTTGAGTCCCGTTACTACAACGTTACTACAAAAATTGTGCTCCGAACTTTGGAACCGCTATAAGAATAATGATGAACTCTCATTATTCGTTCAGATATGGGTAGCCTAAGAGTTGACGGTGGATGTTGTTCAATTAGTTACCATCTCTCTAGTTTATCCATTTAAAATTAAGGACGGCTATTCGCAGATAACCCTTGAGTAGGTATGTGCAAAAATTCTAAAACAAATAAACCTTTAGGACAATATCAGATTACAACCCATGAATGTGCATTGATAGTACTAACAGTAACTGCAGCCAAGCGTCATTTACACGTTGGCATGTCAGGCAGGTTAAATAAACATTCGTATATATATATATATATATATGTTAAAAATGGAGAGTGACAGTTTTAGTAAAACAGTAGAAACCTTATGATTTGTTGTTTATTCTGTCATGCTAGCTAATTACTATACCGATG